CTTACTTCCCGGTTAAATTAAAACTATTAAATTCTAAAACGACTTAAAAAAAACTTTGAGCAAAATAGAAACTTCAAAAAGGGGCAGTTGGTCAGTTCTGAACTTCGTATACCTTGCCAACATTGTTCTTTATTCGGCTCCCGCCCTCCTCCGCGACCTCAGCGTTTACATAAGARATAAAACGCCCGCTCACCGCGATCTAATGAATTGTGGTTGGTCTTTAATWTATTGGGGTCAATAACATTAGATGTTTGCAAGACAAGGCAAGATCTATYAATATAAAACACGCTGAGACTCAGACTTAAAGTGTGATTGTTGAAGTGGTTATAAAATAGCAAGTCATAATTGAAGATAAAAGGGRAAAAAAACATTATTTGAGCTAGAGTTTCTTCAATTACTGGATTACGATTTGAATAATCTTCAACAGCAAAAAGAGAAGTAACTGTTGCTCAGAGGTAATTGTAAAGCATATGACCATCTCCATGTTCGAGTTGAACTGAAMTTCGGTTGATTTTAACTTGTCTTTTCCTACCATCTAAACCAAATTAATCTTACAGCTAGTGAAAAAAATATGGATGATAATATCAACAGTACTGCGTCAAAGTATCCTAGCCATCAACCCGAAGCACCATTCATCATCTGGTCTGTTGTCTACTTGTTCGTTGGGCTCCTAATTTTCCTCCTAAATTTCGCGACTCTGATGACGTTTGTTCTCAACAGACATCTTCGTCGCCGTAGCGTATACTGCTTGATGAACTTAGCTGTGGCAGATATGATGTATGGGGTGTTTAGAATCACYCAGCAATCGTTATATATTGGACGATATTTAGGACAAACRTATGACCACAAAGCTAGGACGGCATTTCATCTTCTTGGACATCTGGTATGGCTWTCGTCTCTATTCTGYTTAGTTCTCGTCTCTCTTGAACGRGCCTACGTAACGTATTTTCCTTTCCGAAGCCGGACAAAAGGGCTTCGTATTTACATTGTGGTAGTTATCATCACCTGGTTTTTACCTATACTTCCGACGTTTACAAGTTACTTCTTACCTATTGACCACAACTATTACTTAATCGTTTCTGTATCATTCTTGGTCTGTTTGATTCTCATTTGTGCATCATACACAGCGATTCTGATCAAAGTCAAAACACGGCCAAAACAACTTCATATAAACGAACAGCAATCAGCCTTCCAAATCGTTCAAAGAMAAGAACAGCATCTTGCGATGACACTATTTATTGTTACTGTACTATCTTTATTAACGTGGTTTCCATTGATCGTMTTTTTGGCGTTACATATGTGGTTTAAACTATCTGAATCTACCTATTCTGTGAACATATCTAGATCGATTTGGTTGATCCAGACAATCAACTCATTGATTAATCCAATTGTATATGTGTTCAGAATGAGGGATTTTAGAAAGGCTTTAGCACAGTTGGTATTTAAGTGTTCAAGACATCGTAATTCGATCCATCCTTTAATTCTACCCTATGGCAACCAGGGCGCTGCAAATCTGCAGGAATATGGCTTAACGCGTAAAAGAAAAAAAAAAAGAAAAAGAAAAAGAAAAACTGAATAAATCCTAACCATGGAATCAAAAACCTTTTCAAACCAAGTTAAAAAGAGAGAGAGAAAAAAAAACACACACACAAAGCTTAACAGATTTACATTAGTATTCAACAATGGTTTTATCAATGAAAAAATCGCATCAAAAGTTTAGAATTCTATTGATTTTAAACTTGCCTTTTCAGATTAAATATCTAATTGTACTTTTGGGAAGCATTCAAGTACTGAGGAAAAGAACATGACTAATAGTTCCCGCCAGAGATACAAGAAAATAATAATTAATTCATATCGTGATGGAACATCGAGTATGGTGTTTACTTAAGTCAAAGGTTAAAGATTTAAACGGAATTTTCTTGTAGTCTCGTAATCGCATCGTTCAAGTACCATACTCAACTACCCGGGGGGGGGGGGGGGGGGGGTACTCCCACCCCAACTTGGGTAGGGGTGTGCCGCTAGGAACTCAAAACCCAGACTAAAACTAAGAATTGTACACCCTATCCCAGACTAAAAGACGAAAAATACGTTTTTACAATCGACTGCAATCAATATTTACTAACATTTTTTATGGTTTTTGTGCACATACCCGTATAGTAAATATAGGGGAGTACCTCCCCCCCCCCCCCCCCCCCCCCCCCCCCCNCCCCAGACTAAAACTAAGAATTGTACACCCTATCCCAGACTAAAAGACGAAAAATACGTTTTTACAATCGACTGCAATCAATATTTACTAACGTTTTTTATGGTTTTTGTGTCGGTTTTTGTGCACATACCCGTATAGTAAATATAGGGGAGTACCTCCCCCCCACCCCCCCCCCTCCGTCAACTACGCGCTAATTTTTAAATTTCAAAAGAAAATTACGAAATAAACGGGACAACAACTGCAAAAAAGTGTTTTTAAAAGATGATACGAAAACTAAACGGCGAACTTCAATTTTGTTAGAGTTAAAAGCCCCGACGGATATTAACGGCTTAACTCTGGCTTTTAAGGTACTTAAATTTGACAATTGATAAGGTAGGTTTTCGCGCAAAGCATAGTCAATAGAAATAATTTCAAATAATAAGGTATTCGTTTTTCTACTTTTTAGGGGCGTTTCAAATCTAGTGATTATAACAAAATGTTGTTGACGCTAATTCTATCGTTTTCTTTTCTTTTAATTTGATTTATTCTACAACAATGTGTCATCAATTTTGTTTTTGTCATAGCGATAATAATGAGTTAATTGAAACCCCAACCGCAGACATCCGGGAAARGGCGGAAAATCGACCCCTTGTATGTAACGTCATTTGAAGCTAGTGCGCTCAATTTGGARGACAAAACAAAAGAATTTTAACCTCCCACCAAATATGAGCTGCACTCCATCGTGCTGCAAGGGGTCTATTTGACATTCTCGCTATCAAAGCCAATGACACAGTTAAGATATGAGATGAAAATCGCCCCGAGGCTTAAGCGAGAGCCGGAGCTCCTAATCGTAGATCCCTGCTTATCGCTGTGGGGGTCGAGGGGGGTGAGTCGTTGCTGTCGACTTTCTCGCATCATTTAAAAAGCCCGCTCTGCTAAATCATGAAAGCAAGTTTTTTTGAGAGAGAGAGGCATATAGTTAAGGCTACGTGCACTCCGAGCCATGCACAGATGAAAAAAGTCGTGCAAATCTGTTAATTATAATGCTTGCCTTTTGTACGCGGATACCTCTGGTGAAAATAGAGTACAATTTAGCACTTTCTCCCAGTCCCCGTAGAATATTTTCTGTTTAAATTATTGAAGTTTACAAGTTGTTGATCAAAATCGTTAGACTGTTGAAGTACGTGTGAAATTTCCCGTACACYTGTGCATTCATGCTGTGAAATTCATGAAATGTGAAACAACGTTCTTGAATCAACCTCAATCAATTTGACAACTCGATTATGAGCAGTACTCAGCTCAGTCTACCTTCTCTCAAAACTTGCGAAGTTAGAAGTTGAGTCATAAACTATGGTTAAGTCATATCCCAGAGCCTTGCAAAGCCTTGTGTAGTGGGCAGAAGGGTCTTAGAGTGTATTGTTCATGCTTGATACATATATCCCCGGTCTTTATATAGCTAAATGCCTCCGTTCTCGCTAACTAACTCTTACTTTTACTTGTCAAATTGATTGAGGTTGATTCAAGAACGTTGTTTCATTGAAAGTATATATAT